AAATCTCAATCTTTAAGCAAATAAAAAGCACAAAAGTTTTGGAGAAAATCAAATATACTAATTGAAAGAAAGAGCTTCTGAAGCTTTTACATATTGGCCATCTTCTTTTTTTAACTTAGATATTGATCTTTCAACAGTGATTGCTCCTTGTTAAATCATTTAATTACACTTCAATTTGTCAAAACTATAGATACTTAAGTCTAAAATTCTCTCAATTTTTTTTGCTTTAATTAAATTATCAAATTTTTTAAGATCACAAAAGCCTTCAATAATCCTAAAATTCAAATATCTAAAGCCTTAATCCAATAAAACTTCTATAATCTTCAATTTAACCATTTGATTGATTAAAATTTTTTTAAATATAATTTAAAAAAATATAATAATAAAGTTACAAAATTTTATCTATATATTTACTATAATATCCAAAAATTCTTCAAAAATACAAATCTTATTTTATTTCTCAAAATTCCAAACCTTTGAATTCAACTTTTATTGTAAAAAGCTCTTAAAAATTCAATATGCTTCTAAATTACTTGAAGCTAATGCTAAAACAACTTTCTTCAAATTTTCTTTCAAATCTTCCTATTTAATTAGCGAAAAATTCCAAAATTACTAAAAATACTTGGTTTTGTGCTTGATGATTTGATATCAATTCTAGTTCACAATGAATCCTTTCCAAACATCAATTCTTGGTATCTTAAGTTAAGTTTTATTAAAAACTATTCAAATTATTTTTTAAAGATATCTATATTATTTATTTTATTAATTTAATTTTTTTGACTTAATTATGGTCTTTTAAAGTAAATAAAATTCTATTTTTTAAAAAAAGATTTTACTAACATTAAGTTTTTATTATTTTCTTATCTCTTATTACTATTTTGCTACAATATCTTTCAACTAGGCTCTTTTAGAATAGAGTCCGTATTTTTATCTTTCACCATATAGTCATATTACAACTTAACACCAATGTTCTATAGGACCCCCAATATATGTACAACTTGTAGAATATGTATCTACTTGTAACACAATTTCTTCTATATGCAACATGTGGCCAATTTGTTGGCTAAATTTCTAACCTATCAATCACCTATAAATACATATGAAGTCAAATCCTAGTATATAAAGCTTTTAAGAAGCTTTTCTATAAGATATTATCAAATCTATATATTATTACTTACTACTTAATATTATTATGTAGGTAATTATATATATATATTTGTTATAACCGGTCCTTATATAATTATTTAACACTACTAAGGTAACTTTTGATCATCCATGAGATGGCTAGTTTAGATTATTAAGATCATAGCTAAGATTATGAAAGAAAAAAATATAAAGACTCAATACTTAATATCTATAAGATTGTAAATAAAGAAAAGTAAGGAGTAAGATTGCTCTCACTTCTAACATTTTTTACTTGTAGGTATATGCCCTAATAGAAGAAAAAAATTAATTTACTTTAAAAACATAAAGAACAAATAGCTAGAAAATTTATTTCAAAAGTTGTTATCTATAAAATTATCAAATGAAATATTTAAATTGTCTCAACTTAGATAATGTTGTAATTGTAATAAAGATCTTCAGAAGAAACATGTTCTTCCTTATATACATGGCAAGATACAACATGTTTAGTACTACAATTTTAGAAGAAACTTCTAATATATATAGGTATTATTAGAAATATGTATTATACCAAATGAAATATAAAATATATTATATGAAGATAGCTATAAAGGCTTTTATAATGATCAAATAATTACATCGTCTTCCTTTCTTAATATAAGATATTATTAATAATTAAAAGAATCTATCAATCACCTTTGTGCTAAATAAAGTCAAAATTTTTTGTTGATATTATTTCATGGATCTTTGACTTTGACAACTTATGAAGCAACAATATAGCTTTTTGTAGAATTTTTTGCCTTAAAAAAGAAATAATATAATAAATAATCATATTTAATAATATATTAAATAATATATTTAATAATAAAATTATATAATAGTAAATATAAATATATTAAATTATTAATATCTGCTTTGGAAACTTTTTATACTTCAAACATATTTATAAGTAATTGATAAGTTGATAATTTAGCTAAGAAATTAGCCACATGTTGCATATTTAACCACTTATATTGTAAATATGCCATGTGGTGCATATATTAAAAACTTATTTTATAAATTAGACATATATCTTATAAGTTAGATACATATTATATAGCCTATAAAATATTACCATATAATTCTTTAATAGATAGTATATATAGAGAGAAGCATAAGGCCTTCTTCACTCTTATCAATACTTTTCTTCTTTTCTTTCTTGATTCAAGACTTTCTAATTTTTTTATATTTGGTAATAATTATTTTAGTTTTGATTTTAATAAATATTTTAATTATCTATTTTTTTAATAAAATATTATATTATTATTTTTAGTATTTTAATAAAATTCATATCATTGATAATTATTGATTGAAAAACTCCAATAATAATAAGTGACCTCCAATGTTATTTAGAATTTGCTAAATACTATCAGATTTTATGAAGAAATTTTCTCACATTGCAACTCTATTTATATATTTAACTTGTAAAGACAAACTTAAGTAGAAGAAAAAAAATAAAGTAGCAATTGAAGCCTTAAAAATATATTTTAACTTATCACCAATTTTTTTATTAAAATAAAAATTTAAAGAAATATTTCAACAAAAATATATAGATTGGACTTTGCCTTTGAGGTAGTATTGTGACAAATAGGAAAAAACAAACTTCATTCCATAGCTTTTTATTTAAGAAATTTTTTAGTAATCAATATTTATCATGACATCTACAATAAAGAATTTTTTATAATTATGGATTCATTTTAAGAATAGCACTATTTATTTGGAAAGTACTTTTATTTTAATAAGTATATACATAAATTATAATAATCTTAAGTATTTTATGTCAATATACTTTTTAAATTATTGTAAAGCTTGTTTGAGTATGTCCTTATTAATATTTGTATTCAATATTACTTAAGGTTTATTAGATGCATTTTTTAAATATTCTTATCTTGCACCAAAAGAAAGAGATGCAACTTTTGATCAAGAACTATTCTTAGGATGCCAGAGCAATTTAATCTCTGAGTAATGAAATCATTGCTATGTATGGAACTTGTTTCTAGAAGAAAAGATAATATCAATATTAACATTAATAATTAAGATGATAAGATAATTTACATAGAAGTTCATAAAAGTAGATTGATTTGATGCTATCTTAGTGACAACCTTCTTAAAAGCTTTATGACTATGTATTTGGATTTAAAAGTGTTTGTAGATAATTATTACATTGAAAACTTGCCTAATAAGTTGGCTATATGTCACACATGTTGACTACTTTTTTTACAAGTTGGTCATATAGCATAAAAGTTAGAAACTTCTTTTGCAAATTAGACACATATGCCACAAGTTGGACACATGTGAGATGACCTATAAAATGTCATGATGAAGCTTTTTAGTTAAATAATACATGTAGAGGCAAGAGTAAGACTTATATTACTCTAATCAATATATATATATATATATATATATATATATAGTTTAATTTCAAGAATCTCTAATATTTTTGTCTTTAGAAATAGTTATATTATTTTATTTTTATTATCTTTGATATAATATCTAATTTTTTTTATTTATCTTCCATCAAGTTCTTATCTTTGACAAAGACTTAACTATCTATAAAATAATATGGGTAAAAATAAAAAAAACTTATTGTTAATTTATTTCATTTAAATATAATATATTATTATATTTATGTAGAATTATTATATAATTTAATTTTAAAAAATTCCTATAATTTATTCAATTAATTTTTTAATGAATAAAAAAATAATCACATGCTACAGGTATCAATTGTATTATTTATTGTCTACTTTGTAAGAGATACATGGCATTTTTTTTACTTTAGTTTCGTTATTGTAATGCTATTTTAGACAAAAAAAAAAAAAAAAAAAAAAAAAAAACACACACACACTCTTATAACAATGAATTTTACCTATTCTATAAGCATGAATGGCCTTGTTGCTTAGATACATTCCTCTTGAAGAAAAATAAGAGATTTTAGTACTAATATGCATTTATAAGTCCAAATTTAGTATTAAAATATTTTTATGTCTTTTCACAAAATAACTTAAAATGTACTTCTATAATTTTCTTGCATGATTTGCATTACAAGAACTTATAAAAGCAAATACATGATACATTCAAATTTATTATACATCTAATAAAATAATATATTTTATTAATTTATTTTTATTAGAAATTAAATTTTATAATATTTTACTATAAAATGATTTTATTTTTATTTATTTTTAGAAATCATTGATGTTGCAAGAAATTCTAGAATTATTTCAAAGAATTTTAAAAAAAGAAAAATGCTGTAAATTATATTTATAAAGAATCATTGGAGATACCAAACATTACCAAAAACAACTGCCTCTAGTAGCAAAGTAGTCTCAAGTGCTAAACAATGAGTCTAAAATCACTTTAAGCATTCAATACAATAAATATTCATTACTTAAACTTTCAAAAAGAAAATCCATCTAATTTTCACTGTAAGTTATACACTACATATGATCAATCATTTTTCATTTGATTACAAATCACACATTTTATGATTATAAACTTCGTTCATATAGATGCTCATGGCATTGAGAACGACTGTTCTCACATTGGGGACAAGCCACAGAATAGCAGGGTCACGTGGAATGGGCGGAAATATGGGCAGGTAAGTTTGTCTTGGAGAGAGACGACGTCAAGGGCTGGCCTTTTCAAATCGGCGACGACGATGGCTGAACTGCGCAAATCGACGACGACGACGACGACTGAACTGCGCGAATCGACAACGACGACGACGAGCCATGGTCGACCTCGCACGCCCATCGATGCCGTTTCCAGGGCCTCTCGGAACCGGCACCGTTTCCTGGGCTCACCCTGTATCCTCACCCCTGTATATTTGGCTCTACCTAGCCACAGTGATCGCTCGCGTTACGCTCTTTCGTCATGTCTTTGACACACAGTGGATATGGTCGCGCTGTGTTCGCCTGTATGTGATGTGTTGCGTAATGTGATGTGTCAGTGTTGCCAGTAAGCTTGAATGGTTCAGCGACTGCCTGGTTGGCGATCTCGTTCTGTTTGTGCGTGTCTGTATTTTATTCTTATTCTTATTTTAGTTTCTTTCTCTTGTGTTCTGAGAGTTATCAGGAGAGTGTCGATTAGTTTGTAGTGACAGCCAATTTCTGTTATTTCGAGAGTGTTTGTAGTTTCGCAAGGCTGAAGAGTTACTGGCTGCTATGTGAGTGAGTGAATGAGTGAGTGAGTTGTAGCTTCACGGGTTGCGCCTTTGAACATATTGGCTCGGAGAATTTAGGGTTTCATGCTGTGATGATTGGGGTTTTGCTTCGTTAAGCGCGGTGGTTTAGGAGTAGCGCAATGTAACTTCACGGCTCAACTCGTTGTTATTCACTTTGAGTGAAAACAGGACTTTGGAAGCCGTCGTGTAACAGGTTTGAAATCAGTTTTTTTCATTCTTTTTCGAAAGATGTCTTCACACTTTTAGGAGAGGTAGGGATTGAGTTATATACCAGTTTCGGCTCGGTTTGATGGTTTTTCGTTCCTAGCTATGTGGAGTGCTGATAACATTTTATTGTGGCTGTTAGCAGAGGTATGGCGGCAACAAATCGCATTAACTTGCCTCCTAATCAGCAATTTTCCCCACTTCTCCTACCAGAGAAACATGCTGCAGATGCGACTCAGGAATGCGATGAAGAGTTTGATTTCTCAGATGTCTTTGGTCCTGCGCCACCACATCCTATTCCTCAACTGCCCCCTGTTGCCGAGAATGAAGACGCTACTGAGTGGTGTTCTGAGCTCCGGCAGGATCCTGTGGTCGTGTACTCCCGGTCTCACTCTCTTGTTGGGCCATCTCCAAAACCGAGTCTGAGCAGAGTACAGGGCAAACCATTGTTGGACGAGGCGGATTGTTCCTCGCCAGCTAGTGGCGCTGCCAGTGCTCCGTCTACTGTGAAGGGGGTTAATGAACTGGCTTGTCAAGTGACAGGGTTGGTGCTTAGTGATTCCGGGGACAGTGAAAGTGAGCGAGAAGGCGATGATCAAGTACAGAAAGATCCTGACAGTGGCAACGGAGTGGAGAAATTGGGACCTCAAGATTTCGAGCTTCTCAGAGTCGTTGGACAGGGAGCATTCGGTAAAGTATTTCAGGTTCAGAAAATAGGCACTTCTGAGATTTATGCCATGAAAGTGATGAGAAAGCAAAATATCTTAAAGAAAAACCAAGGTAGTTACATGAAGGCGGAAAGGGATATTCTCACCAAGGTGGTTCACCCTTACATCGTCCAATTGCGGTACTCTTTTCAGGTTCTTAATTCCCCTCTAAACCTAGTTTTCAGTTTGAACTGGTCTAGATACCGCTCCATGATCTCAATGTTGTATTTACTCATTATTATTGGTGACATCTACAAGCTGCACAATAATATGAGCAGACACTGTGAGCTGGATTGGAGCTGATACATGCCTTTGATTTCAGACAAGATCTAAGCTCTACCTGGTTCTTGACTTCATCAATGGTGGACATCTTTTTTTTCAGCTATATCGGCAGGGTACCTTCAGGTGGATGTCTTACACTAGCCCGTTTGTGTATGACTTTTGTAAGCATTGTGCAGATGCTTCATCTCTCTGTTAGAAAGAGAATGGATTTAAATTTCATACATACTAAAGTTGTGTTCTCATTGTATGCACCTGCTCTCGTGGTGCGCTTTCTCATGAGTATCTGTTAACTTTAGGGAAAAATGAGTGTGTCGAACCCTATGCCTTCGCATGTCTGCTAATGCTTCAGTTCACTGCTCTACTTGCCTTCTTGCCTGATGCATCATCGGCAATCAGATCCTGTTCAGCAATTGTGTCTTTATCACGGCGAGGAAACATTTGGTACTTGGGTAAAGAAGAGCACTTTGAAAGGAACTCACACAATTGATTTGAAACGCAGTGAGGATCTGGCACGTATGTACACTGCAGAGATAGTGTTGGCTCTGGCGCACCTTCACAAGAACGGAATCATACACCGGGATCTGAAGCCTGAAAACATCCTTCTAGATGCCGAGGGGCATGTACGTGACTATTCAGGGTTTTGCGATTCTGTTTTTGGCGATTCCTGATTAAGTTGATTTATAATCTTTAGATGGTATTGCTTCTTTCATTAGGATATAGATTAGGAGTGATGCCTGTTCAATCATCAGTTTTCCACAGTTTTGGTGATGGTTGAATTTTATTTATTTTATTTTTTCTCTTCCCTTCCCTTCTCCAACTGTCCTCTCTAAAACAGCTGTTGGAAATATTGAGTTTCAGGTAATGCTGACTGACTTTGGACTAGCTAAGGAGGTGAAGGAAGACAGTCCATCTAAATCACTTTGTGGGACTATGGAGTACATGGCACCTGAGATTGTTCAACACAAGGGGCATGGAAAAGCAGCTGATTGGTGGAGTGTTGGTATTCTTTTGTACGAGATGCTCACTGGCGAGGTATGTGATGTGTCCTGTTACGATCCGACATTGAAAAATGGGAGTAAATATGATTCCGATACCGCCTTTTCATTAACAGATATTCGGATGTACACTTATTTAAATTAGTAGTAACTGTTATATATATATATATATATATATATATCTATCTATATGTGTGTGTGTGTGTGTGTGTGTGTGTGTGTTTTGTGTAAGCAGCCTCCGTTCGCAAACAATAATAGGCAGAAATTGCAAGAGAAGATAGTTAAAGACAAGATCAAGTTACCAACATACTTGACCAGTGACGCCAACAACCTCCTGAAAGGGGTAAATATGTATTAAGTTTTTTAACACTTTTGTAATTATGATCAACGTGACATCTTTGACTGCCACTTGTTAGTCAGTGATTTGGGCATGTACTTAGATTAAAGACAATCTATTTGGCAGCAGTCTGAGTTTCATGTACTTTTAATGCAGTGGGAGTTCATGGTGGGGAAACTGAACTAGTTTTGATTGGTACATTTTACCTAGGATGTTGTTTTTACTTGTGTTTGTTTGTGTGTGTGTGTGTTTTGTACTGTTTTGTTTCCTTTTCTTTCCTTCTAGTTTTTTAATAAATTCTAATGCAATGTTGAGCTTTTGAGGTTTCACTGTATTGCTTCTGTTTTGTCAGGTATAAGTATGACAGCTTGAAGTGAGCTTTTGAACTTGTAGCTGTTGCTCTTAGACTTCACGAGCTTCTTGTGATGTGACTAGGCAATGAATACACCCGTCTTATTTGAGGATGCTTGTTAGATTCTAATACACATTTTCTGGTATAATTTTACAGCTCTTACAGAAGGACCCGAATAAGCGACTTGGAAGTGGACCCAACGGAAGTGATGACATCAAACAGCACAAGTGGTTCAAATCTATCAACTGGCGTAAGCTTGAAATGCGTCAAGTAACACCCAAGTTTGTTCCAATTGTTAGTGGCAAGCAATGTACAGCTAACTTTGATGAGATCTGGACAAAGATGCCGCTTGATGACTCTCCAGCTGCAACTCCCAAATCAAGTGATCTTGATTTTTTTCAAGGCTACACGTACATTGCTCCCAATACGTGGCTGGGCTCATCATAGTTGACAATCGTATGTTTTGAGGCCTGCACAGGGTTGCACCTCTTCTGTATTCATAGTAGTAGGGTTGGATCAGTTGGAGAAACTTTCTACGCCCTCCTGTGCTGCTCTTTCTTCCCTTCTGCAGATTTTTTGTAGGGTCAATTAGATGTGTCATTCAACAGACGTTTACACGGGGGACTACCTAGGCATTAAAGCCTTAGTTTCACAATCTGCTGTTCCCTTATGGGACAATAAGGTAGTCCAAAATGTTACAAATACTTTTGTTTTGTATATCAGGGAGAGAATTGCTGATGCTGAACATGCCGGACAGAAACGATTGGACTACACTCAACTTGTTATTCCTTCACTCAACTTGGAATTTTGGAGGAACGGCTCCAAGTTTGACTTCCAAAACATTTTGTATCTTATTTAATCATTCAAGCTATATATTTGATTGGATGATGAACTTTGGGTTGTGATCGCTGGTCCCTTGTTGAAGTGGAATTTTGAACTATCGTGACATGTTTTTGAGTTCTAGATTTTGAAGTCCCATTCACAACTCATGTGTTCATCATGTGGATTGAATAGTTACATTACATAACTTGCCAATAGTGTGCACCTCTAGCTGTTATAAAAAAAAAATTGCAATTGTAGATGACAAGAAGGTTGACTTTCTGCCTAAATTACAGACTGTTGAACATGTGACTAAGTATCATGGAACTCGAATCCATATGTCCCATGCTACTTGTGAAGTGGCAGTTCTTTTCTCAGTATTACACTTAATCTTGTTCCATTCCACATGAAGGAAGATATTCTTTGGAATAACACAAGAAATAAGAGGAATTATGAAGCACTTCTAGAGATTGATTTTTTCATTTTAATAATAATAATAAGTAACAAAATTTCAACAATATAAGAATAAAAAAAGAAGATATTTTGTATAGATATAACTTTGAAACCAAATTTTGGGAAGAGTCAAAATAAAGTTTAAAAATCATATCTAAAAAGAAAGAAAGTGATGAAATAAAATTTAGGAATATTTCTTAATTTCCTACTTAAAACAAAGTACTTTGCACTTTCTTCCAAGCCTAATCCATGTTAAACTTTTAGTAATGGCGAGTTTTCTTTTTCAACATTTCCAAAACAAATCTCAAAATATTATTATTTTTAAACAAAAACAAATAGTCCAATTATTCCAGTTGTTGACATACATTCCACACTCTTAAGTCATGCTTTGGTAGCAATCCTGCTGAGAGAATGGGAGCAGACCTCATTCATGCAATGAGCACCAGACCACAAAGACCCAACACAAGGAGTTTGTTCTGTTGTGGGTTTCTAAATATTTTTCTATACATTAGTTCAAATTTTGCTCATCTTGGATTTTCTATACAACCCATACAAGAACTTTCATAAAATCAAATAAATAAATGTTTTCATAAAATCAAATAAATGATGTTTTCATAAAAAGAGACATGTATATATATATATATATATAGATGTATAATCTCCATGGGTCTCTATACATTAAAAAATAAATTGAACTAAGGCAAAATTATTCAAAACAAGGTTGTTGGATCGAAAAAATTCTAAGAAGATAATGGTGTAAAGGATTTCATATATGATTTCCTCCTTCTATGTTTGCATTAGGGGGTTTCAAACATGGCCTTTTTGGGTGGCATTTTATCTGTGATGCAAGCTCAAAGTATCTTGTGATATTTCAAAATACCACTTGATACTTCACCAAATCACCCACCTCACAAGGTAGGTGATTTTGAAATCGAAATATCAAAAGAAGGTTGGATCAAATATCAAAAATTGTGTCACTTGCATCAGCTCTCTTCCCTCAAAGTACTTTGCACTTTCTCCATACCAAGCAATAATAAAGTTTAAATCAGGGGATAATATCAAGAGGTAATAAAGTTTGAATAGTGATATATTGGATTTGATATTTCAAGTGATCTCAAAAGTATTAGGTTGTGAATCCCACCTATTTGGTTTTGCAAAAATGCCATGTTTGAAAACTCCTATTTAAATAATATCACAAAAAAACCAAAGATTGTACAATTTTCATCATATTATGCAACAATAAATTCTAATCCATCACACGACATTACTTATACATAAATGAAGTTCATCACATCCATTTTACAAACCTCATTTGAAGAGCTAAAACAATGATGCCATGTTCAGAGAGGCGAGATGGATGAGGTGGAGGAGGAGGAGGAAGGGGGTCCAGATGGACCACATGGACTGTGCACACGGAGGCTGGTTTTTCTAGAATCTAAGGGATGGTCAATAGCCAAAGCTGACCATGAAAAAGGAGGAAGTCAAATGAGGACAAGGTGGGGAGCAGCATGATGAATGGGGTCCCATGCCTGAGCTGCAGAGTCCCCAAAGTGAAGACAAGTCACGCGCTGTTCATATCCATTCCATGAACATGCCCTTCTTTCATTCACACACACACACACTCACACACACAAGGCTCTCTTTTCCTCTCCCTAGGGTCAATGTCAACTTTATACACTAGTCTATTTGGTTCCTTGTATTAATCATGAGATGATTCATGAGTTTTTTATTTTATTCTGAATTGTTCATTAGACACTGAATGGCCATTCATTGGTTGATGTTGACATTTGCGTTCTTTAGTGGAGGTTAAGCCAATCATGTATTGCAGTCAGTAAAAGTAGAGTATATTCTATTTTGTATCTACACACACGCGCACACGTACACAGAGCAGAGAAGAAGAACCACTTCGCCACTATTTTTTGTGAATAATATTAAATAATAAATCATCTGTTTTACTCTGAGAATATCTATCACTTGTTCCAAACACTCGTAACTTGTAGTCTACTTCAGTGCATGGGCGTCAATTCCCCATCCGAGTTTCAGACATTCCCATAATTTGCAGGCTTGACTACGAGTAACTGTGTGATTGTCCTGTCAGCGAGGTGTGTTACGGAATGGTGAAGCATTCAACATGACGATCAACGCCACGCCTCAAGTCGCGGTCCTTTCTTCAGATTGGAAGCCAAGTTTGAAACTATTGTGATAAACCTCCAAGTCCGAGAGGACTTGAAAATTTTGAAGTTAGGTCCCAAAACGTGAGCAGATAAGCTTTGTCAGAGCGGGGCCTGCATCGACAGGTGTAAATCTCTCGCTTCTAAAAGTCACTGCATGCGGATACCGCTCGAGCCAACACACAGCCCGCCTCGCTAACATGCTCTCGGCCATAGATTCTCCATCTCGATTCCAATCGGTATTCCTCAAGATCAACATGCAAGCATCTCATCATGAGTGGAAGGACGAAGGACGCTCCTTGGCGGAGAGGAAACGCTCTCCAATAGCTAAGCACCACCAATGGAATCGGCTGTCTACTGTGAGGATTTTGTACCCTAAAGAATATACAAGCCTTAATCGAATCAGAGACCTCGTATGTCTCTCGCGCTGAACCCGGCGGAGTAGCAAGCGTACGAGCCGAGTAATGATTTTTTAAGGCTCCACTCCCTCCCATGTCTTCCTTTATTACTACCAACTCTCATGCATGGTGTGGTACTTGGAAGCCTACATATATTCGGTGCTGGCAGGGTGGCTAGATTCTAATGGAGTATCTCAAAACCTGACGATGCAGCTCGCGCTGTACCGCACGATGGATCTTATACATGTACAAGGAGTACCCAATGAAAACAAAGATCTAGTACTTGCTTGATTACAACTAGCACTGAGCATGATCGTGTGTATTTAGTCCAGCTTCCCAATGTGCACATCTCTGAAACTTCTTATCATCTAGTTACAGCTAAGACAATTATTTGATGGTCTTGATTGGACTGTTGGAGGGCTGTCTTGTACACGTTTATGTTATTGGAAGTATTTCAGGATTCCTTCGTGTCAAAGGAAGCTCACAAGACAATACATGAACTGACCTTCCTCGTGTCGTGGATAAGATGCACCCCAACCGCTCAAAAATTAGCGTTCTTTCCGCTTCATGATTTAAAATACAGCTAGATCGTGAAACACGGGCATAAGCAATATGCAGGAGGTGTCAAACACTGTCAAGTGTCAGTACTACGGCGGATCAACCCCGCTAGATCTGATTGAGGTCTCAGGTTACAAATATTGAGCATGGTTGCACACCTGCACTGGAAATTTGTAGAAAATATGGGATAACGTTGGTGATCATGTGCCTCGGAGCTTCGTCTTTACTGTCAAGGCGCTGCAACAATACAGCTTAAGCCCATCCTAAGTTCGATGGATATGGCGCCATTATGTTCTAAGTTTTACTTCGACGTGTCACACTTCGAATCTTCAGGTTACTGATATCTACTCAGCGTTGCGCGAAATGATCACATGCCCCGCTCAGGAGTCCCTCTCCTGCTATCAGGTGCAGCCTGAACTTCATTGACATCCAAAAGGTTATGGAATTGTGGAACGCAGCACATGTTCACGGGACTTGCAGGACACATTTGCAGGAGTCTCGCACCTTCAAGAAATGAACATCTTGGCAGAAACCGTTGTAACTACTGACAAATTCTGCAGAAGGAGAAGTATGAAGTCACTATTTCACAACACTCCACATGGCATTCAGTCACGACCAACAAAGGAATGAAATTTCATCCTCTCCCGCGCTTCCCTCTCAATAACCACCATCTTTCCAACTGCTCCTATAGAGACAAGCAGAAAAAGGAAAGCTTAATCAGGGATAGGTAGAGACAATCTGCAAAATGCTCAGGACTAAGTCTTGGTAATTGGAAATCAAGAATATTGAAGTGCAATTTATTCGTGACGTTTGAACAATGAATCAGTTCGTTAATCCTTTCTTGAGACTTTTTGAATCAAAATAGTATACTAAATGAGCCCCAATTGCTCATCGACAATAAAAGTCTGAGAATTAGCACCAAATAGTTGCACAGCAGTACTTCCACAACCCGCTTATATTACACTATTAATTCATTTCTCTCACAGAGCTGGACCACTGCACGCTGGTAGCAAAAGCTAGAGCCCATTGGCAGACCTCACATAAGTTATAAACTACCTCAATTCTATTCACAAATCCGTGTTCGCAACATCCAATTCACGACGTCTTGCACAAGTGCACACGACATTTGCATATTACTATCAAAGTCTACAGATAAGGGGCAATGTACAGATCGAGTAATTTACAGGCACCGTCAGGCTCCTTCGCGCCACCATAACTATTGAAAGATATCATGCATATCGTGCATGTCTTGCCACATCGAGGAGACTGTATCGCCCTCTTCATAGCCACTGTTCGAGTAACCGTTGGTGGGTGTGCTCCCTTCCTCTTCGATCGTGCTGGAGCCATGAGGGGGCGAGGAGCCGTTGGTAGGAAGTGTACCACCTCTCGAGTCCAGCTGATTTTGGTTCCAAGCAGCTGGTTTCCCTCCCAGCTGGGGCCGCGAGTTCAGCCCCAAGTGCAGTAGCATCGACGAATCATATCCTCCATTCTTCGGAATAGTCTGCAGAGTTGCTGGAACACCTGTTTTGCCAGCACCCTGGTCAGCAGCACTTGCCGGAGTGGCGCTAGTCGGATTGGACTGTTCCCACATGGAAAAAACTGGGTGATTACCGGCCTGAGGATGGGGGTTTTGCGGCACCATATTGCCCCAGAATTCAGGCTTCACGGATCCCACGGTACCGTTGGTGTTGACGGCGTTGTCGACTTGAAGCTGAGATCCCAGATCCGGTCCGTAGTAGTTTCCAGTGACCGGTGGCATCGAATGCGGAATCATCGTGCCATACATGGGGCGCATAGACTGAAATTCTTGCTGTGCAGTTTTGCTAGACAACGGCTGGGTATACATTCCTTGGGTATGGTCCACGGAGTAAGTAGGGTAATGATTCTGTGGTACGAAACCTGGTAGTTGGGAGAAATTGAATCCCGACATGTCGTGTGTCAACAACTGCTGGAATCCCATGTTCGGCATCCCCGGTTGTCCTCCAGCGGTGGCCATGGCAAGCGGGCTACCGACGGAACCTGGACCTGTTCGCAAGTAAGGCTCCTGCCTCTGATGTCGGTTTTTCTTCCGGGAGCCTCCCCCCACCGGGACGTTTCGAAGGGTACCCCCAACAGTCCAGTATCTCTGGCATTGCCTGCAAAAGTGCCTGGGCTGGTTTACACTGTAATTGTTGTAATAGCAGAACTTAGTGTTCATCGACTCACATCGCGGACAGGGCAAAACTTTCTGAGGTTTCTCGAGGGCTTTCTTGCCAGGCGAGGCTGGGGACGCAGGTGTACCTGTAGCACCTAATGTTAATTTCCTTGACTCCTTTTCCAATGATCCCACACTAGTATCATCTTTTGAAGCAGGTAGGTGCACCATTTTGATATATGCTGCTTGTTAACTGTCCGATAATATTTTCCAGAACAGGAATAAGAGGTCTGTTACTGGCTTCAATCCAGCTCCCATTCCAAGTCAGAGCCCCGAAATTTGCAGACCGCGATCCCTTCTCATAAAAACTCGACGAAAGATACACTCCACCTCGGATCAGAAATCTAGACAGCGGTAAACTCACTAGTCGTCGAGTTCACCTTGGACTCGCCCACAGATCGATACAAACCAACACCGCATACAGCAGACCTCAGACCGTGCGCTCTCACCCACCTACAGGACACACAAAGATTCACCAAAGAGCCGCAAGCCTGACCTCGAGCGCACACAAAATCAATACACCTACAAAGCATCCAACTAGTGACTAAATCGAACAACTAACTCCCACAGCAAAGTCTGACACCTCTCCCGGCTCACAAGTATCCCTCGCGCAGAATCCCCACCCGAAAACTAGCAGCTGCCGACGCTTTAACTTTCATTTGCCGAGGAGATCGAAACCTTCAGCTCCAACGGAGGCCAACTTACAAAAAACCAACACAGCCCAGGGATCCAAGACCTCTGCAAGGTCACCAAGGGGAAAAGAAAAAAGACAAAAAGAAGAAAAAAACTATCTGCACAGCGCGCGCTACGCAACAAGGTGATGAAAGGACGGGTGCCGGACGACGATTAGATGATAACTGCAACGATCTGATGGGAGACCGTCCAGCAGGCGTCGAAGCGGGATGGGATGGATTATGGGTGGTTGCATGAGCTGGGCTGCTGTGGGAACGCGATACTCCCATAAGATGCAAGACACGGTGCGGGCTGATCAAGGGCGCATCGAAGGATCTGAGGTGTGGCTGGGGTGCGACGAGTATCGATCATCCTTCGGGCCGAGGAGGAGGGGTGGGGAAGGGAGGGATGGGTGGTGTCGCGATGCCGTCGGCTGGAAGCGAATAAGAGGCACTGCGATGGACGTGGACGGGGCAAGACCGTGTAGAAGACGAGCCATTGGCCCCTCACACTTGGGGCAGCCGCCTTATCCTCCCCGCTGCGTCTGTGGCCCAATCTCCGCAGAAGCCCCCCTACTACCACCACCACCACAATCACCCTCTCCTGTAGCCCAGCGCTGCCCTGCTTTGCCTTGCTCTTCACTCTCTCCTCCTCTGAAACCTGCCCCTTTCAACCCTGCCCTGCCCTGCTCTGCTGAAACCCACACTAACTGGGTTTCGCAGGCCACCTTACTTAGTGTGCCAACACATCCCCCCCCCCCCAAACCCACACTTTGTTGTGAACCCAGTGCCAGTGCGCACCCAGCTGCCCGAGTTTGTTGTGTATTGTTTCGCTTTCCCTTCTGGTCGATGGGATCCGGGATGAAGAAAAACTTTCAGCTCAGAATCTTCTCTTGTTTGTCTCCAGCGCATCTTCGGCATCAACGTGGTCGTTCTAGACCGGTCTTCTTCTCATTTGCTCTGGACTCGGTCTCAGTTTCTCGTCGTCGGAGTTTCTGGATAGGACACAGTTGTTTTAGCATTTCACTTGGATGGCTTTGTGGCCAAATGGCGGTTGTCCTCGGAGGTTGCTTGATCATGCGAGATGGTGGATATTGTTCTGGTTTTTGAGGTTACTGTGAAATATTTTGAATGCTAAGTGCACCTAGATCTGATACCGCCCTAACAACTTCTCAAACTTTTTGTAAGCTGGTTTTGGAAGACAAAAGGAAATAAGAGAAAGAAAAGTAGCAAGACATAAATAAATTAATAAATAAATAAAGACAAAGAAAAGAACAGATATTTCATTCTTATTTTTTTTCTCCTTCATGGCATTTGCAAGATCATATATATACATATACATATGCAGTATACAAAATATATGTCTTCAGCTCTCAGAATTACAAATCACAATAGTAACAATTGTCTGAAATATAAAAAAAAAATTATGAATAGTATTCATGATATACATCACCTCATTAAACAGAACTAACTTACCAAAACATTTCTAAGATATAAAATAATAAAGATGATGTAGACCTTGTGTAATCTAATCACCAAGCACTTAGTGAACAAATCCTGTACAAGAGCAGCATGAAGAGGTCCCTCCACTACAAGGGCTCTTGCACAACCAGTTCACAATCACAACCTGCATTATTGAGGCATTTGCCTACAACTCAGCTTGTTCATGTGTGGTCACAAAAAGTATGAGCTTTTTGACAAGTCTGTTTCTTTTTATTAATTTGTTTTTGGTTTTTTTTTTTTTTTTTTTTTTTTTTTGTTGTGGGTAGTGTCTTAGAGACATGAGTTTTGTATATGAAATGGATAGGTGATCATCACCCTTCTATGGCATTCCATAGGAAACATGTATTTGACTTGTAGTTGTGGAGGACCCATCCTAGTACAAGCTTCATGATCCTAATGCCCAGGACCACATGCTTATGGCTGTATCCACCCATCCATCCATTTCCACTTGTTCATCCATCCATTCATTAGTGGTATTGAGTTGATCATGACCCTCTTCTTACAAAACTTTCTTAGCTCTACACCATTTTTGTGGGTTTTTTATTATATTTTTTTATTTTATTATTTAAAAATCAGTCATACATTATAATATAATATAGGGGAATGTTAAACAAATCCATGCTTTTACTAAATAGACCCGTTTTTTATGAAGAACATGTTTAGAGATTATTCTTACATTTCATTACTATTGTTCAATAGGTTAGATGTTAATTTAGTTAATTGCATATGAAATTTATAGCTTAAATCTATGCTTTGTTGAATTGCATGTTGTGGAGTTGTTGACATGAAAGTTATCAAAAGGATATGTGCGTTTGGTTTATAGTCTGAGGATTTTAAATTGAAACCAACTTCACTTCTATGTTCAAATGAAGTAAAAAACTTGTTGTAAATTAAATTGAATTTTTATTGCGTTTTATAGAAGGTGGGAATGTAAACATCTTTTCTTAGGTTTGAGGCACAGATTACGATCACTTAAATCATTGATCAACATTAAATAAAAGCATTGAAATTATCAATATTTTTCAATCATCGTGGAATGTTATCTTCCGTTACTGTATCAGAAACTAATCCATGTCCAAAATGCCCATTTTAAACCTTCCATTATTAACATTAAAGAATTTAACTCATAAAAGCTGTTAAAGTCACACGCATGTCCATTGGCGTTGATGCCAAATACAAGATTAGCAATAGTATCATCCAGCGCTTTTAATACACAGAAACACGCACACAACATATATAGATAGATATATAGATAGATAGATAGATATATTCTCATACACACATTCCCATATCTAAGAGCAAACAGCCCAGGTTGACAGTCAAACAACGTGGATCAAAACACAAATGGCTGTTCAAGCATTTGCAAGGGGAAATCTCCGAAGACGTGCGTCGATGCAGTGTTCGAAAGACTCACAAGAAATCCTTAAGTAGAGTCACACGAAATCCTCGAGAAGCTTATCTTTCAAGTTTGTAGTCGAAAGAGTAGTCGACCCAAACATGTCTAAGCGAGGATGTTGAAAAGAGAGAGAGAGAGAGAGAGAGAGAGAGAGAGGAGAGGAAGAGGAAGAGTAAGCTTGTAAACCAGAGCCAAAGATGTGATACGGTTAATGGTTGAGTGAGTGAGTGCACAGATTCCGTGCTTCGAGGGCTGACTCCGGTGGGCTTTCAGTGGGTAATGGAGTCCCATTCATGAGGGTACATTATATGGCTTTCTAGAAGAGTGGAGGTATAACTGCAAGGACACAATCAGGCCAAGCTCCATCACTGAGTGACAGGGTACAAAGGGGAGGCGCAACCATCGAGAGAGCAACGTTGGCCCACTAAGAAGGGGCACCAAAACTGGTACTCACCACCACCACCTTCACCACCAGGCTGCCGGCCCAAGCCCAGAATTTGACGCAACAGACCCCACACAGAACTTTCATTGCGACTGCAGCGGGTGCTGTCACTGCTGCAAGGGTTGGTTCCCAGCCTTGTTGTTGAAGCAAAACGTGATGCAAGGACTCACACTGCTGCTACTGCTGCTGGCGCTGCGACGCGACGCGACGCAACGCAGGACTGACCACTGCAGTCCGTCTCCAGACAGCCAGCCAGCCAGGCACCAGGTCTGGGCCGCGGTCTCGGTGCTTGGAGCTGCAGCACTGTACACCTGTGGAGGTTGGGTCATCGCTTTCCAATCACTCTTAGCGTTGGGCCAAGGCGATGCGCCGGCTCCCATTGCTATGGTGAATGATTATCCTTTGTCGAGGCGGTCAATTCCGTTTTGGGGTGAATAGCCTCCCACCCCCGTCTATTCTGCTGGCATGACGCCCAAATCTGGATCCAATGCATATATATCTGGGACACCGCATCGATTTTGCCTTCCTAATTATTGCAGTTAAGATCCCCAACAGATCGTCGTTGAAACTGTCATCCATGCAGGCCTTAATTTGTGCATGGATGTCCTAACGAGACCGAACTTTCCAATGCTAATTTGACATGCATGTGAGATCCTTTTTCATTGTTAAAAATGAAATAAAAACATTCCCATGTTTTGGATATGGTGCATGCTTTTGATTCCATAGTGCATAGAAAAGCATTCTTTGAAGAACCCCGGTCGCCAGGGCCTGTGAAAATCAAATTTCACCACGCTATTTATTGGGTGGAAAGTGAGTTTATAATTCAAATTTACTTTGCGTCAATGACAGATTAATTACTTGATACACTAAATGGAGGAAAAACTGGCATGAGCTATTCATTCCAGAAAACGGGTGATATTTCCTTACTATTTAAAAATCTGAATTGAGGTGTTAATAAGTCCTTCCGTAAAACATTCTGACAACAAAATTCTTAACAAAACAAAAGTGCAATCATACCATTTTTTTTTCATTTTCGGAAGATAATTTGTTTGTCTTTTATCAATGGTTTTTCTCACGTCATTTTGTCTATAATTATCACGCATTGTTACTGTGATTTAATAATGAAAAACCGTTTCCAACACTAAATTGCAGAAAGAAGTATTTGCGATGATCGTGCAGAGAGTTGATTATTTAATCACTTTTACCCAGAAGAGGGAGTCGGATATTGTTTGCACTACTTTCCATGTGAGTGACATGTGACTAGGCTGATATATGTTGGAGTGGCCCCGGCGCATGGAAAAAAGCAGGCTGGGAAGCCGACTACGCATTATGAAGGGTTGAAATAATGATTTGCGTGACCTATAAAGGCTGCTCAGCGGCACCAGCAGTTGCGACCTGGAGGAGCACAGTCAAGGACCTGCTCTGCGCCGCGTCGACCGTGTCCCAGGCTGATTGGGGCGTGGTGGAAAGGTCTGCCGAGCCTCCCGGATGCAGGCAGGCACAAAAAAACAAACAAACAAACAAGCTGGGAACCAGAAAGCGGGCGCGCGGGATGTGCATCTGCGGTAGTGTGTGCAGCAGGACTGAGAAGGGGAAGGGGGGCCACCGCTTCTCAAAGATCACCACTCCCTTCCTCTCGCCCAAAAGATCTCCCTGCCGCACTTGGTGCGCATCCTCCAATTTCCCAGACTCCTTTCCATCGGCTGAAATGCCACTGTCGCAGCAGAGGCATCATCGTCGGTCGATCCCCACCAGATCCCACGCTTTCCCATCCTTCCGTGCCGCCTGGGTGGTGGTTCCTGTTCATCTTCCATCGACGGAGACCAGCGACCCTCAGCCCCGTCACTTCATAATTCCCTAGGTCCCCTATATTGCCACCCCCACCCGCGCCTCGTCCACTCTGTGGCAATCAATCCCTCTTCATGTGGCCACTGCCACGCCTCGACACTTGGAAACCTGCAACACGGCCAACCTGCAATTGCACCACTTAGTCCTCCGGTCTTCCTCGCCACACGCACACACACAACAACAAAAACAACTCATCTTGAGAAAATCTGTCCAAGCTCTTCACCCCGTTTCTCCAGCCACTCGATTCTTGAATCCCACCTCATCTGTCGTATCGAATACTCTCCGATGCTGCTGATGATGCGAAGCT